AATTCACGACCATATGCAGTAAGACCGTAGATGAGGTGAGGAGGTGCCGTAGTGCAAGGCGACGGGAAAGGGTGTCAAGGGAGTCAAAAGAATGTGTGCAAAAGGAGGAGGAGGAAGAGGCAAAGAGATGCGTAGTCACGGCCTCAGTGGTCTAGGGGTATGATTCTCGCTTTGGGTGCTAGAGGTCCCGGGTTCAATTCCCGACTGAGCCCGAGGCCTCTTTGGTGGCCGGCAGGTTTCCCAGACGGTGATTTTAGCCTTGACCTCCTACCCCTCGGCCCTCAGGAGACAGTCGCACTCTGATGCAATTCCCCACTGCCTGACGAGTCAACAATCCCAGCCACCTCACTGACCCATCCATCTGATTTGCTAAAATTGTTGCTTTGCGTGGCATCTGTGTGCGATATTAAAGGCGATTAGACGAGAGAGAACGACAGTGGCTGAATTCGAGCCCGCGCCCTTTTAGACTGGTGCCTAAAACTAGCACCTTAGACCACTAGACCATGCGCCACGTAGACAAATGCAAGCGGGTGAACCTCCACTTCACTCCAACACGTTTCTCATCCCGGTCTGGGCACATTTGAAGCTAAAAACATGCATAACCTTTCATATAACAATGTTATCCTATTCTGTTGCATTTCACTGCGTCGTATGGAAGCGAACTGTATCGTACGAAATTATATCAACCCACACCGCACGCTGCATGTCGTGCTGCGTTGATTACACAGTGATGAAGTGGGATGGACAAATAGGAAAGGGAAGTGCGGGCTCAGCCGGGATTCGAACCCGAAGCGCGAATCATACCCCTAGGCCACTGAGCCGGGTCCACAAGTCCACACATTTACGCCTGCTCCTTACCTTGGCCACCCCCCAGTGCTTACCTGCCATTGTGCTACGTCGTGTCTGCTCCTCCAACCGACAGCCACGCAGAGCTGCTAATAAGCACTCAACTCTACTCTATACAGTCTCTTTGGAATGGACTGCTACTCGCATTCGGTCGAGCGGTAGGGCAAGGAACAAGTGAGCTAATGGCAATTGTCATTCTCGGCTCTTGTGCAGCGTGGATTGTTAATGCTGTTGGATTTGAATCCTGCTATTGGAGGGCGATTCTCGGTGCAGTCTGGCGTGTGAGCGCTGACACAACAGTCTCTCGCAATGCTACGTTGTGTCAGTTTATTGAGTCCACTTATCTGGCATAGTCTGGCCCACTAGCAAGAATTTCACCTATAAAATATGTAATGCTTGCATGTTCTTTTCCTCCATGTATTCACAGGCAAAACACCTTGTCATGTCTTGCT